CTGCTCATTTTACTGTATATTGGCTGGAGTGGGAAAAAAATGCTTGGGAAAAAATTTTTGGGAAAAAAATGATTGCAAATTTCTCTATCATGACTCTTCCCCCAACTGCAGCCTTCTAAAGTAGTTGTGGGAAATAAGAGAGCTGAAAGTGCATAATTGAACAACTTGGATAGCAAACAGCTTTTTGCCTTTGATGAGCAGTTTGCATTTAAAAAGGGATACCACTTTTACAATACAAGTTGATTTGTTTGATGTCACAAGGAACTGTGGAATGGGTTCACATGATCCGAATTCTGAAGAAGAAGAAAATCAATTAAATACCTATTAACTAACAAACCTACCTGTCTTTTATTTTTGGTCAAGTCTGGACTTTTAAAATGCACTTTTGTCACCCTGTTTATGAGTATATAGGCACCCTCCAATTTTGATCTGCACTGAACCTAAAGGATGTTAAAGCATTTTATAGAATCATAGAATCATAGAATGGTTAGGGTTGGAAGGGACCTTAAAGATCATCTAGTTCCAACCCCCCTGCCATGGGCAGGGACACCTTGCACTAGACCAGGTTGCTCAAAGCCACATCCAGCCTGGCCTTGAAGACATCCAGGGATGGGGCATCCACAACATCTCTGGGCAACCTGTTCCAGTGTCTCACCACCCTCTCTGTGAAGAATTTCTTCCTGACATCTAATCTAAACCTCCCTGATTTCAATTTATACCCATTACCCCTTGTCCTATCACTACAGGCTCTTGTAAAAAGTCCTCTCCCAGTAACCTTGTAGGCCCCCTTCAGATACTGGAGAGCTGCCATGAGGTCTCTTCGGAGCCTCCTCTTCTCCAGGCTGAAGAGAATTTTATTTATGAATTATAATTTTTCAATCAAATGTCTTAGCAAACTTATCAGCTTGCTGGACTGGTAAATATTGAAAAAAGGCCAAGCGAGCTGCCCACGGCTATCCACTTCTTCACTGACAGAGAAAATACTGAACTCTGGGAAGTCTGAATGTCATACCACTGCTCTGTTCATCAGCAGAAACATCAAGGGAATTAAATAGTGTCTTATTACTTCAAAAAAGTTTTTTTAAAGACCACATCATGACCTTGCATGTTGCTTCCTGCCCTTAGCCACATTAAAAATTACTTTGAAATGTCTTGCTAATCTGCTTGTATTTTAATAATTATTTATAGTAAATCCCTGTATTTTTCTTGTTCTCTCTAGTTGTTTCTCCCTCCTCCTCCCTCTTCCCCCATAAAAATATCCAACCAAATGGAACCCAAAATATAACCTCAGAGGAGTGCTAGGAAGGGGAATACTACTACAACTCAGACCAGCGAGAATTTCAAAATGTTTTGTAGGCTGTGCACAGATTTAATCCTCTGCCTTAGTCTAGCTGCTAAAAATATTGTGTGTGCTGCAGAGCTGCAATACAAAGAAAAAATTAAAAAAAGCACAAGTAAGATTTATTTCATTTTGTGCAAAGTTGCTCTCTTTGTTTTAATTCCAGAATGATCCATACAATTGACAGCCCTTACAGGAAGCTGCTACAGAGACAT